TCACCAAGCCAGGATTTGAAATCAGGCCACCTCATTTGAAATCAGGCCAGTCAGTTCCTTGTGCTTCCTAGGCTCCTCCACAGTGAACTTATCTTTCCCATCCAAATTTGGAAAAGATTGAGAAATAGGCACTTAAGACAAAGATTAAATTTTTTAAAAAAAAACTTAATTTCTGGGCCAGGAGTGGTGGCACACACCCTTAGTCCCAGGACTTGGGAGGCAGAGGCAGGCGGATCTTTGTAAGTTCAAGGCCAGCCTCGTCTACATAGTGAGTTCAGGTCAGCTGGGACTATAGGGAGACCCTGTCTCAAAAAGAAAAAAAAAAAAAATTCTGACAAAAGCTAATTTGAAGGATGTACAACCAAGTGGACTTGCTAGTAGTTGCTGATCTGGGGAGAAGTCCCTACCAGGCACAGGCAACACTAAACAGAGCAACTCAGGCAAAAGCATGCCCTGCTGGGGTTGCAGCATAGCAGACTGAAGCCCAGAGTGTAGCCTCTGTGCAAAGAGGTGGTTCAAGATGCACAGAAAGGGCTTGTCCATAAAAGCCTTGCTCCTGCTTCCAAGCTCAGCATTAGAGAAGCCACTCAGGAACGAGGCCAACCCAGAGCAAGTACAAAGTTCACATGTTCCTCTGGTGAAACTTTTTCCTCATAGAAGCAAGTATTTCCTCGCCTAGCACTTTTGTTGTTGTTGTTGTTATTTATTTTGTTTTGTTTTGCTTGAGACAGTGCCTCACTACCAAGCCCTGGCTGACCTGGAGCTCAGTATGTGGACCAGGCTGACCTAGAACGTGCCTCTGCATGCCTCCAGAGTGATGGGATAATAGGCATGAGAGACCATGCCTGCTTTCTTCTTCTTCCTCCTCTTCCTCTCCTCCTCCCCTTCTTCCTACTCCTCTTCCTTCTCTTTCCTTCAATCTTTATTTGCTTGAAACAGGGTCTCTGTAGCCCAGGCTGGCCCTAAACTCTTGATCTTCTTGCTTCAGTCTCCTAACTACTGAAATTACAGATGCAAGCAGCCATGCCCAGCTTTATCTACCATCCTTAGTTCTGTAAGAATTAAACACACACACCCCAGTATTTTAAGGACTGTGATGGTTTGAATGAGAAATGTCCCTCCATAGACTCATGTATTTCAACATTTTATACCTGGTTGTAGCAATGTTTGGGGAGGTTATGGAACCTTTAGGAGATGGAGGCTTGCTAGAGGAAGTTCATCACTGAGGGGAGAACTTTGAAGGTTTATAACCTCTCTCTCTCTCTCTCTCTCTCTCTCTCTCTCTCTCTCTCTCTCTCTCTTCCTTCTTTCTGTG